AACCAAATAGATAAAAATAGATAATTTCCCCTGGGGGAAGATAAAATGTTGTAAATATTTGAATTCTACCCAAATTTATTTATAGCTGTAGTATAATTCTCTTCAAAATCTTAATGGAATTTTATTGTTAACCTAAAAATAATTATCCTAAGGCTTATAAGGAAAATTAAAAATGTGATTATCCATGATCATTTTTAAAAGGACAGCTATGAAGAGGGAGTATGTTGCAACTAAGATAGCCTCAAAATACTCTTAAGTTCATAACAGCTAAAATAGTAAAACACTATTTTCAAGCCCAAGACTTGAAAAAAAAATGAAATAGTAGAAGATACACCCTGAAGACCTAAGGATGTTTAAGAATTTAATATAGAACAAAAGATGTTCTTTTCTGTCATTAAAGAATGATTAATTCATAAATGGTGCTAAATCAAGTAGTTAACCATTTGGAAGGGAAAAAAAGTATAGATTACTGTTCCTCTGTATTTAACAGCCCAAAGTAATTTCCATGTAGAGAACGATGTAAATGCAAACCTCAAATATTTCTGTCACGTTGAGGTAGAGTGACTTACACATTATTGTGAGGAAATACTCATGAGTATGTATAAAGACTTGCATTAGCTCTGAGGATTGTGTTTTGACTTATAATGACAGTGAAAACTTGAAAAGGTTTAAATATTTAACAATGAATGTTAAGTTTAGGTTAGTTCAAATATTCATACAGCAGAATATTATGCAACCAGAAAGAAAGAGAAAAAAGAAGGGAGGATGGAAGGAAGGGAAGGGGAGACTAAGGTCCATATTTTAATAATAAATAATATTTATAAGCTCATAACAATAATTATATATGTGTAGTAGTCTCTTTTCACACTGCTATAAAGACTGCTTGAGACTGGGTAATTTATAAAGGAAAGAGGTTTAATTGACTCACAGTTCAGCATGGTTGGGGAGGTCTCAGGAAACTTACAATCATGGTGGAAGGAGAATGCGAAGCAAGGCACCTTCTTCACAAGGCGGCAGGAAGAAGTGCCAAGCAAAGGAGGAGGAGCCCCTTATAAAACCATCAGATCTTGTGAGAACTCAATCACTATCATGAGAAGAGCATGAGGGAAACTGCCCTCATGATCCAATTACCTCCACCTACTCTCTGGACACGTGGAAATTACGGGGATTATGTAGATTATAATTCTTGATGAAATTTGGGTGGGGACACAAAGCCTAACCATATCAGTATGTGTGCATAACGAAATATACACACAAAACAATAAAGAGATACAACAAAATGTTGACAGGGATCAAGGCATTAAAATTAACCTGCTTTATTGTGTTTATTTCTCTAATATACGTTGTTAATTTTCATTAAAAAGCATACACTTATTCTAAATAGAATATAGGTGTTTTAAAATCCTATTTGATACTCATAACAAAACCATTCCTGTGCAATAGGCAAATTTTTATGAAGAGAAAATAATAATAAGATGACAGTGTGGTCCTGTGATAAAGATTAAAAGTATTTTAGTTTTCTAAGTTCAAGAAAAAAGGCCTAAGAAGAGATGAAATATCTCGTTTTATATAGCTGGAATGTTATCGCACTAAATTGTCTTTATCAAAAGATCAAGTCTTCATTTCCAAAGAACACTGGCAAGAGAGAAAAGGTCCAATAGCAACAAGAGAAAGTATATCTAGATATTTGGGTGAAAATAGAAATTAATTGCTAAAGATGCCTAATTATCATTTGATCAGTTGTAGGTACCAGTAGTAGCACTCAAAATAATTACTATGTAGGCTTTAACATTAACTTGAAAGCAAGTAACTAAACATGAAGCATAATAGCTAGGAAAATAGGCAACATCATATTTCATAGGTTACATAAATTCTTCCAGTCCTTCATCTCTATTGCTACAAGGGATATCCTTATAAAGCCACATTTTTATCTCAGAATAAAATCCATTTTGTATTTCATTCCTTACGCTTGCATCATTATATTCATAGTGTCAAAATAGGTACCATTGGATAGAGGGTATATGCATGATCCTAAAGAGAAATATGGGTCTTAAGCCAGGAGATATTCCTTATTTACACTGGAAGGGATAGACCACAGATACTAATCATTTTCAAAGGATGCACAGTAATGAGGAAAGAAATCTGTTTCCTCAGGATTTTCATTAGTAAAATTTGGGGCACAGTGTAGAAAATGCATTGCATTGGGGTACCTCACAATTCTGAGGTTTTACAGCAGCTACATAAATGAAAATTCAAGTAGAGAGCTGGATGTATCTTTATTAGCACCCTGTCAAAGGTACAGAGGGATTTTGGCAGGAAAGATATCTGTGCAACAGCATGAAGCTTTTACATTCCCACAAGTTGAAATTGATGGAAATGTATTGACATGCCTGGCTTCTTTCCTTTTTATTTCTTGTGAGGGAAAGTCTCTCTCTTTCTCCCTCTTTTCCTCCCTCTTCTCTATTTCTGTCCAAAGCCTTTATTCAGTTGATATTTTTGTTACCTAAAACTTATAACCTCCAAACTACAATCGACACATAGGTAACTCATTCTATTAAGATATTTGTGTAAGCTTTGCTGAGGCACTTATATAAGGAGTTTGAACAGCAGTCTAAGAGTGACCAGTAAAATAACTTTTAGTGGCTATGTAGTCAGTGATGTGAACAGAAGTCAGCCTGGATTCTATTAATCTACTGGCCTTCCTATTTAATGCTTATTTAAAAAATATTTTAGTAATAATTCAGCAAAGCATCATAGTTGTGAGTGTTTTGTAGTTTTGTGACCTGAGGCAAGGTAATATTCTTCCAAGCCTCAATTTTCTCCCTTGTAAAACAAGTTAATAATACTATAATATAGTCTCATGTAATATTGTATAGTATGGTTCACAGAATTTGCTGACGATTAGATAAAGCAATGCATATAAAACTTTTAGAACATGACTGGTACAAAATAAAGAGTTGGATAAACAGTACATATAATTTTGAAATCAGTAATGATAGGAATATGTAAAAATATTTTATTGCCATGGGACAATGTGGAGAATGTTCGTGATGACATGCAGCAGAGAACTTGGAAGTCAAATTGGGGAATCGATAACTTTAGTAAGGAAAAACATGCCATTCTTTATTTTGGATGATTATTACTCCCATATATTAAGCACCCACTCTGTTCCAGGCATCATGCAAAGCAATGCACATTCATTTTCCCTGTTTCTCAGAACAACTTGTTATTAGTGATGTCACCGACTCATTCAAGTGAAATAGCTTCATCAAATTAAACACTCGCAAACAGAAATGCCAAACTCTGATCTCATGTCTTTTCAATACCAAATCCTATTTTACTTTGCACTAAACCTCACTGTGATTGAGAAGTTGCTCAGGTGAAAAGACCCGTCAGGAGACATGCAGGCTTTCTCACACTGGCTTTGAATTAAGTCAGGGGCAGAAAGCTTGCCCTCCAATGGTCATAGAGCAGAACTGCATCATGAACAGGCTGCATGGAAAATGGTAGGTCGTCTGATTTCGGGGCCACAGGACTTAACTCTATAATGCTGACCTAGAAATATTGGTGGAGAAACGATCTTTACGGAGGCGATAATTAGCCTTAAATGATGGCAAATGGGTACACTTTAGGCAAACTACAAAGGAAGGAAATAAATGGGTTAATAGTAGAATTTTCAGGGCTCGATGAATCAACTTGAGCGTGGCTTTACCATATTTGAGCTACACTGGACTTTTGGGCTTGGTCTGAGAAAGAATCAACTGGCCTTTGGACACCCGAGAAACCTTTTGTGATAATGCAGAGATAAGTCCTGGGAGAGTTTGTAAGCAGAATGTTGTCAGAGTTGATCATACTTACGTGAAAATTAATTGTGCCACTCATTATCTATTGCTTGATAGAATTAAGACAAAGAAGGGGACAAATGTTACCATGCTTTGAAGAGGTAACTAGCATAGGAGTTCTGAAGTTAGGATCTTAGCCAGATTTCTCATCTGTGATTACTTCGGGCTGGCCTTAGGCCACCTGAGACCCCAGGCAGACATTTTTTTGCAGCTCTTTTCATATATATAATTTAATTTAGCAAAGTAGATGTGTTAGGACTACTCACATAGTCCAATTTCCAATGATCCTAAGAAATAAATACTACAGCAGCTGAGGGAGATAATTTGATTTTTTTTAAGGGGCCTGTGGAGTCCTAAGATGATCCTTACAGGCAAAAGTTCTAGAGCTCTTCACGACATTTGGTGAATGCCATGTGGGGTAGAGGTCAGAGGGTTCTCTGAAGGAAAAAGATAGAAATCAGAGGCCCTTGTGGACTCTACTCAGACAGTACTGCCAGCTCTCTCCCAGAATCCAAAAGAAAATTTGGAAAATTTTGAGGAAAGCCTGTCAATGTGCAAAGACCACTAGAGTAAATGCCTCGGGGGTGGAGAATTTCCCTTGCCTGGGGCCAAGGGTATTACTGAGCTACTTTAAAATGTTCTTGTGAAGAATAAATTAGATAATACTTGTGACTTACTTAGATATTTCCTTGGAGACCATCCACAATCAATCAATGTTAGATGGCTAATGATATCCACCCAGTATTCACCAGCTGTGTCAACTAAACCAATCTTTGTAAACACTTCAGTCAGGTTGTTGTATTTTTATTTCCATTGATGTATAAGTAGTAAAGCATGATTCACCATGTTTCGTACAATGGTCATAAATCTTTTTCTTCTAAACAACCATGACCCTGACCTTGGAAATTCCCATGCTAACCTCCTTCCCTTATTCCTAAGAGAAGGAAATAAAAAGGCAAGACGCTAAAGTCAATATCAATACTTTCGTGCTGCTAAGAAGTAGATGATTGCATTTAGGTGGTCTAAAATTACATGGTGGTGTTTGGCAATACATATATCCCCTTTGCAGCCCTGTATTTTAAGTAAATTGTCATAATATAAGTGAGTCTCTTCTATCCTGATGGCGTACTCTCATGTGGTGCTTTCTTGTCTTTACAGATCCCCCAAATTAGTTATGCATCAACGGCACCTGAGCTAAGTGATGACCGGCGCTACGACTTCTTCTCTCGCGTGGTGCCACCCGATTCCTTCCAAGCCCAGGCCATGGTAGACATTGTAAAAGCCCTAGGCTGGAATTATGTGTCTACTCTTGCATCTGAAGGAAGTTATGGAGAGAAAGGTGTGGAGTCCTTCACGCAGATTTCCAAAGAGGCAGGTAGGATGAGATTGCTTTGATCAAGTTGGCTCTCTTCAAATGTCTGTGGCTTGTAGAGTTCTCTTCAGACTTTATTAAATGAACACTACAGACTCTTACATTCCCAGAGTCCTGTGAGTTACACCTGTAATGTCTTCATTTGTAAGACTTTGTTGTTTTTGGAGAGATTTTCGAAGTTGTGAAACTGAGATCCCTTGAGTACTAATAGAATAAATGAAGAAAAAATGTGTATATCTTACTTCTGCCTAATGGGTAATAGGGTGGATTCTAGCCTGTGTATGCAAACATGGGAAAATGTGGCTGGATGTACCTCCCCATGAAGACTCTTCCTCTCTGCCTCTCTCCAAAATGGAGAGAATAATTTAGAATTATGTGAATGCAATCACGGTGCCACTTTGATTTGAAGAATACCTGGAATTCATCTGAATGACTTGGCCAAAACAAAAGTAAATAAGTTATCCAGGCAGTAGAATGTATTTAGACAAACAGTCTTTCAAACTTGAGATTATTTTGAGACAGTTCTCTTTAGCAGCACTTGGAGAGGATTCTCTTAACGTTTGTTTATTTAGCTCAGATTGGAGGTAATGGGTTCAAATATTTGGCCAGCTGTCTTCCAGTGGGCAGACTTTGAAAAATGAGACAAAATTCTCTCACTTAAAAATTTTGACAATAAGTATTCGGGTTTCCCCATATGGATGTATTGGATATGGTAAATACATACAAATATGTATGCTTAGATATTCCCATACTGTTCTTATGTTAAAATTGGGTGCTCAGTGTTGTAAGCATTTCATGCAATTTAAATTGTTATTTACCAGAACAGTTTACTGACCATAAAAGCAAACAAACAAGCAAAGCAATAGAAAGAGAGCTCCATGTTATGAGGAAAGATGTCATAAATTGTGAAGATACAGCTTTGAGTATTTGACTGTCAGATTACAGATATACTCAGAAATATAGTGCTTCCGGATATGGATGATGCTAAAATAAAGAAACTAGGGCTTGTTTATAAATCTCGTGTTTTTAATTCAGTGCATTGTTAGCTGTAATTTCAGAACTTCACAGGAGATCTGGGAAGATCTGTGAGATTCTTATTCTCTTCCTTCTGACTTAACACAGCTGACTAGATAGCTTCTAATCATTGTCAAGTCTCGCTCTAACCACCATTTCTGGGTTCAGATGCAACACTCACAAAAACTTCCTTTGTTTTGCTGGGTTGGTCTTACATTTCTAGTGTCTTCTCCCACAGCACCTATCACAGGCTAGTATAATTTCTTGTTTGTTAGTTTGTTTGTTTTTCTATCTGATCTTCATGACTATAGGAGACCATGTCTGTCTCATTTTCTACTATGGCCCCAGGTGCTACATTCCTAAGGGACACATTTATGCTACAATTCAGTTAGAAACTTTCTGATTAGGAAAGAAATCTTAACTCTGGCCTTGTGGCATGCTGTGATTTATAGGACTCATTAACAATTGACTTCATAAATCCCCAAAGAGGTATCTAATCATTTTTGATGCCTATGTTTTTCTTTCTTTCTTTGTTTTTCTGAATCCTGCCTTGATCAAACTAAGGCTGGAGGCTGACTTAGAAAAATATCTAAAATATCAGGATAGAATAAAATAGACAAAATAAGATGAAAAGAAAATATGGGTAAAAGAGTAAGATAAAGCTTAGAGATAAAGGGCAGACGCCATTTTGTACTATATCATTGTTAAAAGTGAGTCTCAAATTTAACACTCAAGTTTAAACTGGATGAAGCAAAGGAAGAACACTGCCCATTCTGTTACAGGATTTACAGTGTTCATGAGGTCAAAATCGTGTTGATTATTCCTTGCCTTGGGATCAAGACAGATGTTTGCTCTGGGTCTGTATAAAAAACTATATTCTATAGACAGGTCAACAGTGACTTTCACGTGGTTGTTTATTCCTGGTGTCATTTGGTGGAAACTTAAGACATTAATATCTGAGTTTGCTATTATATATAATGACTCTTCTAAAAGGAGAAGCTCTTATAATATGATCTGAACTCCCTAGCTCATCTTTTTAGCTAATCCTACGTTGAAAAGCCCCAGCTAAAAAATAAAGATTCTATCAGTGGCAGCCATTTTGGATGAAATCTTTCCATCCTGGAGCCTTTCCCCTTGAGGATGGGAGTAGCTAAAAAGCCAGCTGGTGCTACAGAAATGCAAGGAAACAGTGAATGTTTAGGTGATGTCTTGAAAATTAATACCTCTTCAAGGTATTAATAATAAGTAGTATGGTATTTGTTGTGTATATATAGTAAGTATTTAATAAGCATTCTTCTTTTATACATATTATAGTATTTGGCATGTATTTATAAAAAGTATTTAATAAGTATCCTTCTTTTATATGTATTATGATATCTGGTATGTATTTATAATAAAATGCATTGGAACTATATCACATGTGCAAGTGCTTTAGACACATGAACTTATGTGCTTAGCAAATACCCCTCCTTTTCAATTAGAAGAAAGGAAGAAAGAAAGGAAAGAAAGAGAGGAAATTAGTTTAAATGATGTGGAGTAAGTCTACTCAGTGTTTGTATGGCCTAGAGCAAACATGAAATACATTCAGTGAGTTTCATTTCTGTGGGCCTCTCGTAATGCGTGCATCTTGCTGCTGCAAAGGTGATTCTGGTATTTAAAGACACACATCCCATGACCTCTAAAAAGAATCCATCTCCTTCCTCTGATGTTCAGTTGAAGAAATAATCTATATTCCAGTTCCAAAAAAATAACAATATAAAAGAAAAACTTATCTATTGGAATTTCTGGACAGTATACATGGTTAGGGAATTCTCCAGAGTAATTTTGAATGTTCACTTTTTTCTTTACCTGCAAACTCAACCTCACAAAAGATACAAACCCAATGTTTATGGGTACGTGAGGTGATGTGGCACAAAAATAAATAAGCACACTGGTTATGGTGTCAGAAAGACCTGGATTTGAATAATGGACTCCATCACTCTCTTATTTTAGCTATTTTGACACAGGTTTTAACTTTTCAAGCCTAAACTTCCTCATAGAAAGAATGAAATTAATGATTTCTGCTTCACCAGGTTGGTAGAATATGTAAGATGGTGCATGGGGAAGCATTTAATACCCAGCAATATCTGATTACAGTGCATCACACTGGCTCCCTATAAATAAGGAGACTGGTTGATTGAGTCTGAAAACTTTGAAAATAACTTGAGTAATAGCTGTTATCTGCCTTGAGTTGTAATTAGAGGGTTATTTTTAAAGCTCTTTCTATTCTTATTAACATGCTGTCACGATGTAAGATGGATATGAAGAAAAGGAAGTGAGCTATTTGCATTGTCCTATGTATGTAGAATATGTGTATGTGTGTGTATATATGTGTGTGTGTGTGTGAGAGAGAGAGAGCAAAAAGAGAGAGAGGTTACATAGACTCAATGGTGTTGTTTCTGTTTACTGCTGGCAGGTTGGAAGCATTTACTTCTATTGTTTCTGAACAGTTTGACTTTGAAGATTGTGATTCTTTTCCTCTATAAAGGGCCTCACCCTTTTAAAAGGCTTTGGCTTCAAAATTTACTTTAGACTTAAATCCTGAGGCAGAGGCTACTTATAAACCAGAGCCGAAAGCATCTCCACCATGCACACAGTCACAGTGCACGGATGAGCGCCTCTTCATTATTTACTGATAGAACAAACCAAGACAATGATGTCAGAGAAAATAAGCCATCCTTTAACAGAGGCCATGTAATTGTTTAAAACATGGAAGTCTAGGCACATTTTCACTAAGCTGTGAAAGAAAACCTCAATACTTATTCTTTCAAGTATAGTCCGGCAGATTTAAATATGCATGGATGCTGTTCCTTGTTGAGCTTTCAAAGAGAACTGTAACATGATTTTCTCAGATGATGAGGTTTTGTAAAACAGTTATATTTGCATAAATTGCCCTGTTTATTTGAATGAATGCACATGCAATAGCAACAAAGGCAATTTATTTCTTAATATTGCAGGGAATGAAAGAAAATCCACTCTCAATGAGCTTTAAAATTCAAGTCAACAAAAACGACCTAAATTAGACATTAAAAATTCCTTTATCTAAGTGAGGGTCAAGGTAAATGTTTATGATAGCATGTGGCACTAATAAATTCCAGATTCTTTTAACCAAATCTGATTCAAACACTGTAAAACTAAGGACTACATATGTGACTCTTACAGTCCATCAGACTATATCCAGGAAAATCTCGTGAATACTGCTTGACAATATAGCACAAATAGCAACAATTGTTACTGCTATGCTGCCATCATACATGTTGATTTCTCAAAACCTGAAAGAACTATCCTTTTGGTATTTTACGGTGATCACTTGACATAGTTAGTTGTATTTCAATTGTTCTTATAAAGTGGTTATTATTATTCAGGTAAATTCTAGAATTTATTTTTAATTAATACTTTATCATAGCCTAGCATATTCTTTCCTAAAATACTTAGAGGAAGATTTGATTAACTGTTATTAACTATTATTCAGTCTTCAGTTCTTTAGATCTCAAGCTCTATTAAAAATACAAAAATTATTATTTTTTTTTTTTGTATTTTTACGCCAGACGTGATGGCGTGCACCTGTAATCCCAGCTACTGGGGAAGCCAAGGCAGGGGAACTGCTTGAACCCAGGAGGCGGAGGTTGTAGTGAGTCGAAATTGCGCCACTGCACTTCAGCCTGGGAGACAGAGCAAGACTCCATCTCTAAAAAAAAAAAAAAAAAAAAAAAAGAGCTAGATGGATTTTCCTACTATGGAATTTCAGAGCACTGTATGCCTCTCTCTTTCATAGATACAATGTTCTATGTTGTTGTGTGCATTTGCCCATTGTCAGTCTTTGCCAATTTACTTTAAGCTCCATGAGGGCAAGAACATTTTCCTGTGTTTCATTATCAAAGATAATTTCTAGTACATAGAAGGCAGTCAGTTATTATTTCTTAATGGAAGGAATAATTGTATTTTTCCCC